TTGTATAAGGCCTAGGAAGTGGAAAAACGCAATCCTGATGTATAAAAATACAACTGCGTGAAACACACAGGCGTATCAAAATGCAACTGCGTGAAACACACAGGTGTATAAAAATACAACTGCGTGAAACACACATCTGTATAAAAATACAACTGCGTGAAACACAGATGTATAAAAATACAACTGCGTGAAACACACAGTAGTATGAAACTTCAACTGCGTGAAACACAGTAGTATGAAACTTCAACTGCGTGAAATACACAGCAGTATGAAAATTCGGCTGCGTGAAACACACGAACTTCACGCATGCGTGGAGTGTATGGAGTGTATGGGAGTGATTCACGCAATGGTGCGAATAGTCACGGCCTTATGTATATGACGATAATATTGCGGGGAATATTTTAAAAAATTGTAGCTGGGAGTGCCTCCTAAATGGAATCGAATTTTAGATGAAAAAAAAAGAACTTCGAAAATTTTTTGGGGCAATATTTCATATACAGATTTGGTGGAATCGCTGAACATTGATTTATAAATTAAATTTTAATTAGTGTCGATGGACAGGGCTCACCGCAACCTACATTCGAAAAAAAAGATTAAATTCCATCAATTCATTAACGAATAATTGAAGAAAAACTTGTTCAAAAAATTGAAAAAATTGAATTTTCATTTTTATCAATGATTTCAATTATCAATAACTCATCATCCACAGAGTGCAATTCCCCAACTTTTCATTCATTCGAAAGGCATTTTCTCAGACTTCAACGTGAGCTCTAATTCATCCAAATCGCGTCACTAGGTCAGAAGATATTGTCGATTGAAGGCAGCCTGCATCGCCTCACTCTCTCCTAGTTATAATTCTCGCATATATGAGTTTTCTGAGCATCTCTTGGAGCACAATGTGATACATTGAGATGCCGCCACAAGTGATGATTAATTACACCATCTGGTCACTCTGTGGATGGCTTGATGCAAAGCGATAGCAACATTAACGGGATCCCAAAGTTCGAGGGGAATTGTTGGTGGTTGTAAGCGTGTCAGCGGAATTGAGACGTTTGCCGATAAATTCTTGTGGTTAAGTGGAGTAATCAGAACCGCAATTAGGTTCTTCCTAACATTGTGATGGAGTTTTATGCGTTCTTCATACGTTTTGTAGTTGGAATTCAGAGTGATAAGTCCATAGGGCATTTTTTATCTTAATATTTTTAGTAATGGAGATGGGCAAAAAAGTTATCTGAATTTTTAATCTCGTTTTACAATTTCACAATTGATATTGTCACACTTTATCAAAATCAATGCCTTCGGAACAAATAATCTCTCAGCGTCGTAACTCAACTCGAAGATTGTTACAAGAGTTTAATTCTTCGAGACAGAATTATCAACAAATAACTTGACTTTGGCATTGCGTTTGACGTGAGAAATTCCAACTGTTTTGATTTTCGATTTTTAATTCATCGTTGAAAAAATATCTCTCTGCAAGTGAATCTCTCCAATTTTTTTTTTAATACTAAATCTGGATTCAATCATCAACAAAAACTATCGCCCTGTCTCAATGGCCGTCCTCTTCGCGCCTCGCAACTACCGAAGAAGCTTATCGGATGGTAGAAACCGAAAAAAAAAGAAAAAAAAAAAGAAAAAATACAGGGAGAAGAGTGAAATACGAGGCGTCTCTTGAGAGCCTGACATATGTGGATATGCCGCGTCATGTGGGGCATTTTCAAATGGAAGGAGTGAAGATAACAAGGACAGAAGTGCAATAGCACTCGTGAAAAAAAAATGTGGGCGCCGGAACAATTGGCAAACGCTGACGCAAATACCTAATTCGGACATCCTGCGGCTGTTGCACGCCCTGAATCCACCGGGGACCAGCCATTTTCCATTACTCTGTTCACTGTTTTAATATTCATTGGGTAAAAAACGATAGTTCAAACCGTATGGGTAACAGAAGAATGAAATTAAGGCTTCTATTGTACACATTTTCAGCTCTGTTCTATTATAGTTCTAGTTTATTCAACATCCGTTACGTGTCATGCAACGCCCTCGTGCCTCCTCAACTGAGATATATTTCTAGGGAAGAACTTCTCACGTCAAACGTCATGTTGAAGTCGAGTTATTTGATGATAATTCTGTCTCAATGGATTTAAACTTTGGTAATAATCTTCAAGTCGAGTTATGACGTTGAGAGATTGTTTGTTCTGAGGGCATTGATTTTGATAAATTGTGACAATTTCAATTGTGAAATTGTAAAACGAGATTGAAAATTCAGATAACTTTTTTTTCATGTCTATTACTCAGGAAAAATGATAAAGGGCCAAATAAAATTCAGTACTTCGGGTGGAATTCTTCAGCAAACAAACAGAAAATACTCTGTTATTCTTCAAGCTGAAATTAGTGGAATTCAATTAATTAGTGGAATTAAATTCAATTTAGGGGATTTTTGAGGGTTCAAGGGTCAAACAATCGTCTGAGCACTTTTTTTTCAACTGCGAACGAGTTTGCTCGTGACTTAGAAATGTTTGAGCCCCTAGATTCCCCTAAATCGAATTTTTCGTTAGTTTCAGCTTCATCTGTTATTTCCAAGAGAACGTGTTCTCACGTGCTAGGTTCTCCCCCAACAATAACTTAAAACCCAAAAATAAAAACTGTCAGAATTTCTCACGTCAAACGCAATGTCAAAGTCGAGTTATTTGTTGATAATTCTGTCTCAAAGGATTTAACTCTTGTAACAATCTTCGAGTTGAGTTACGACGTTGAGAGATTATTTGTTCTGAGGGCATTGATTTTGATAAATTGTGACAATTTCAATTGTGAAATTGTAAAACGAGATTGAAAATTCAGATAACTTTTTTTTGGAAGTGCATGGGGTGTTTTTTTTGTGCGGTTGGGAAGCCCCATGATGGGGTGGCCCTTGACACTCGAGCTCCCCCCTCTGGACTATTGAGAATCGTTAGATTTCTCGGCGATGAATCACTGTTTTTATTTTTGGGTTTTGAGTTATTGTTGGGGGAGAGCCTAGCACGTGAGAACACGTTCTGTTGAGAATAATAAAAAAAAATTATGAAAATAATGAAAAAAAGTTATCTGAATTTTCAATCTCGTTTTACAATTTCACAATTGAAATTGTCAC